AACCTTTCTGTTTATGTGAGTAATGTTAAATCAAGACATTGTACTAGGCCATAGTGAAAGACACAGAATTGCACATGACTGTATTTCAATGAGAATTATTTTGTAAGCCAGCAATACAGAGTTTGTTATCTTAAAGCTTTTATCTTTATTATGCTACAATGTTTAGTGAAAGGTGTTCCTAAAACTAGAATTTAATGTTTCATTAAAATACAAGTGTGAGTAGGAGTATTTAATGTAAGGCGTATCTTACATAAAAACAAAATTAAAAAAAACAAATTTGGAGAAGAGAGGATGAAGAAATATATCTTATTTGCAAACATTTCTGATTTATGAAAAATATTAGATGCCTTACAGCAAGGAACTAGATTTTTATACAATACTGTAAAAACATTTACATGTCAAAATTGATTATCTTATCTAGTTCCCGCTCACCAAAAGAAAAGGGAAAACACATTATTTGACATTCATAGATCTCCTGCAAGAAGAAGTCATATCAGGTAAATAATATGTTAGGATATTTTATACTGCCATTATGCTACCATGTTGGAATTTCAGGAATAATTTCTGGAAGAATCGGCTGGGTAAAAAATACAAAAGCTAAGCCAATGCATCCTTCCTCTGTTACAACTATAACATAAAAGAGAAAGATAGCATAACACAATGCAGAGAAATACTTTGCAAATCACCCCTCTAAACCATTGTCATAGTTTGGTATTCTAAAAGCCGTTCCTCCAGAAATTTTGCTGAAGTAATGTTTTATGAACTATCTTTGAATAGTTCTGTCATTTTCTTTTGGTCGGTTTCTTACATACATATATATAAAATTGTTTTCAGCTTTTTTGAAAACAGATTTATATCAGAGATAATGATGGGCTGGTAAATTAAATTTTGCAGTAAAGTTTGATGAGGAATGAATGGGGTGATTTTTGTTCTATGCCTAATAGAGAATGACCTACTGTATTTCCTGTGTTAATTTCAGGCTTTCTTTTTCCATTATATTTCAACTTCGAAATTGTGGCTTAATCTCTGTTTAAAAAAAACCTTGACATGTTGATCCTCTTTTGTAGTCAAAATTAAACCACAATTTCTCCTCTTACATTGGAACAATAGTGTTTGTGAGTATATGGGAAGAGCAGGGATTGCTGTGTCTTGTTGCTTCTCTGAGATATCAGTGTATTGTGGCATCTGAACTAGCTCACGTGATGAAAACAAGAGAAGCATTAAACAAAAGACATTGCAACTTTAAATTATCTGTTTTAATTTGTTAGCATTCACTAAGCACAATTCAGTGCACGCTCGTCTTCAGTGAAATGTTCTATTGCTTCCGCAGGAGAAAGAAACATGCCATTCATAGTAGTGATACAACCTCTTCAGATGAAGAACGTTTTGAAAGAAGAAAATCTAAAAGCATGGCAAGAGCGAGAAACCGGTAACAATTTCTTTCTCATCATTCAACTAAGGGGGAAAATGGCTTGGTTTCATGTGGTTGGCCTGATGAAATTTGCCAATCATGTGGAAATTATTTTATTCTAATTAAGGGTGCTGTTATGAGGCATGGTCATGCATGTTATGTATGGACCTTGGTGTCCTCTGAGCTTGGTTGTTTTCTTGCAGATGTTTCATTACCAAACTAGGAAACATCATCAGTGCTCATTGATAATGTTATCTAGCTTGTTAATTAAATGTCTGCAATAAATCAACCACACTCAGAGAACACCAAGGATGCCACAGTTCAACTCTAAACTACAAATATTCTCTTGTAGTAATAGAAAATATACATTTTGAACATGTTTTTATATCATGGGATTTCTTCAGGTTTGCCCATCTGTGAACATAAATTTGTATTTCTATTGGAGGTAAGGAGCGAGGCATTGTTTTTCTTGATTATTGTTTATCTTTAGTCTTAATTGATACCTTCTATGCCAGAACAGAGTAGAACATCTTTCTTATCATCATGGATCCATTCTTATTCTACAGAATCGTGCACCCATTTGACAACTTTTCAGGGCAAATGGAACTGTAAAGAAAAGAATGGCAACATTTTTAGGTTGGGGGCTGAATATTGTCCTTGTACTCTTCTGAAAGTTATATGGGGCACAGCCACTGATGTACTGATGTTATCAGAATACGTGGACTAAAATTGTCAACCAGGGACTTTACATGAGCTATAGACTGGGCCCATTCCTACTGTTTCTAAAATGTAGTGCCTCCTTTTTTCCTCCATCGTTAGCAAAATGCCACTGAATGTAATTTCAGATGCAGCTCAATTTATTTTGATGTATTATTTGATTATTATTATTTTTTTACTTTTGGGGGTGGCAGTGGGGTTATTTATCCATTATGTCTTCATGAAAGTTATAGTTTTTTTCTCTAATGACTAACATTCTCATTCTATTTTGGGGACAAGATGAAATACTGTACCTGAAAAGTTACAGTTCCATTCTATGTATGCATGCATCTTTATTCAGCATGAAATTTATGGATTTTAAAAAATATGTCACAGGTGTCTGCCAATGAATTTCAGAGCAGAAGATTTGGCTAGTGGAATCTTACGTGAACGAGTGAAAGTTGGAGCAAGCTTGGCTGACGTGGATCCAATGACTCTTGACAAATCGGTGTGCTTTTTTTCCTTTGTTTAGAATTGACTGTGCTAAAATCTTTTAAGTTTTGTAACATTCAATCTTGAAGAATGAAATATTTATAGCTATTTTGCTTACACCAGATTAAAAGTAGACTCTTTGGGATAATAATTTTTGTTACTGAAATTTTGAAATATGTTGATGGCTTAATTTTTTGTATTGCTTTTTATCTTCCTTTTAGGTCCGTTTTGATAGTATAGGTGGGTTGAGCAATCATATTCATGCACTTAAGGAAATGGTTATATTTCCTCTTCTGTATCCTGAAATATTTGAAAAATTCAAAATTCAGCCCCCAAGGTAGGCTTTGCTCATATTTACACTTGAATTAATCTACCAGAATACACAAACTTTGTTGGATTTAGGGTTATTTTAAAGAATAGCTTAATAAAGAAATGGACAAAAGCTAGATCTGAATTAATTTAATTTAATTAAAATAAACCATGTTAGACCAACATGATTATTTCCCTTATTTCATTATTTTAAAATCCTATTATTTGTCAGATTAAAAGGTACAATACATTGCAAATTATTTGAAGGGGAGACACTCCATGTTTTACTAGCTGCAGTTGGGTTCAGCCATTTGATTTAAGCAGGAAAAAAGCCATTCCTAGATCAGATTCTCTTCCCCCATGACTCAGTATGCCTCCAAATCTCTGGAAAAATGGAATAGTTGTGAGAAAGTTGCTGGAATTAAAGTTTGCTGAGAGAAGAAGACAATAGCCAAGTCAAATACATTTGTAAGACAGTTGATGAAATATCTTGCTTTAAAAAGTTTTCTTGAAGAAAAGGTATTTTACATCTTTGTGTTGTGTAATTTCCCTTAAAGTTGCCAATCTAGAAGTATGAGAAAGCTAGGGAAAATAGAGCTGCCAGACAAAGACCATTTGCTACTTCTATGAAAAATTTAACAAAGTGAAATAGTTCAGTAATATTGTAAAATATGGAATAAATCAATATTGATCCATCCTGTACAAAGAAAAATGCAACTAAACATAACACAGAAGCAGAATAGCATTGTGGGTTCTTCGACTTATGAAAGGAGCTATTGAATGGATACTAATAAAGATGGAAATAGTCATGGAAATCCTCCAGAAAAACTAAGAGTTGGCAAAATTCCTTACTGTAAAAATTTAACGCTGTATATGTGCTATATGAGACAGCTAAGCATAGGATTTTTCTAATAAAACTAATTTTTGTTCCAAGGCACATCACTGTTTTCCTTCCTCCTGACCTTATTTACCAAAACTAATGTTTGCATGAGACACAGAAAGCTTGGGAGGTTGTTATTTAGTTATAACAAAGCTAGNGTTTCATGTTAATTCATGTCAGAAAATGCAAATATTTATTTTCATGCCGCTTGCCAAAGTTTCCTGTCATTACTTCAAATCTTAACATATTTTGAAAAATCTTGGCATGATCCATGTATTTTTATGCAAAACAACTCCAAAATTAATATAATAAAGTTTTATAAGGAAAAATTAATATCAGCCATGATTATTTCACAAATAAAATTGGGATAACTGCTTGCCTTCCTACAACATTTTTAATGATATGGTTTGCACTAAGAAAACATCTACGTTAATAATCCTCCAAATTCTAAAGTATAATTCGCATAAGTGAATAACTGGCACAGGATACGATTTTCTGTCTCTTGAGTTGGGCACTTATACATACCTAAAACATATTATGGAACACCAGACAAGATGTACTGCATAGTAGATTTGCTGAACAAAATAAAAAAAAGCTTACTACACTAGCAACTGTTGTAGTTGTTTCTTACTAAAGACAGAGCATCAGTGTAAGAGTGCTAAGAGACATACTTTAGTATTGCAAATACATCACTAAAAAAACACAGTCTCTTCAAAACAATGCTCATCTTCTGTCACTCTTGTGTTAGTCTTCAATTTTTGAAAAACGACGGCCTCAAATCATTCAACTCTCCAACAGAACAGTAACATTTTAAACTGAGCATCGTCCATTCAGACAGCTACTGTACACATCCGAATTATCCTCTTCATCCACAGGAACATCTATCTCCGAAGCAGCATTCTTCCACTTTTGATCTGCCAAGACCCCAACATCTCCTGGTGAGAAGAAAGCAATTATCCAACAAATGACAAATTAAGCCTTTTGTCTGGTGTAAGAAAGCATGTGCCAAATCCATTTCATGTAGATTCTTTTAGTGACTCTACAACAACCATTTAGCAGATAGAAAATACAAGTTGGGTCCTTCATTGGCCAATATTCCAGTTTGAAAAGTGATATTTTATGAATGTGAAAACTCTCTTACAGATCTTATAAAAATATGCCATATAATGAGGTATGATTGCTTAGATTTACAGGAAAATCTACTAAATCTAAAATAGAGAAAATCCCAGAGTTTTTGTTCTGAATTTCCCACTGAAGATTTATATTTTTAAATCTCACAAACATTGTGCAAGTCTAATAACATAACATTTTTTTTATCATTTACAAAGATGAGTCATTTTTTGTTTTACAAGCTTGTAATACATAGTCTGTTTGGCATTTTAAAAAATTATGTGCAACTTTTAGACTCACAGNTATAAGACGCACCCAGATTTTCAGCCTCTTTTTAGAGGAAAAAAGGTGCGTACCGAAAAATACGGTAACACTCGAGAATAGAAATAATAGCAATATTACGTGAATTGTAATTTTAATGCAACAAACTAATTTTCCAAATTAAATTGTTCTTAGGTTAACTTCTCAATCTGGTGCTACTCTACCAAATGGTCGTAGTTTATGTAAGTACTTCAAAATTAAATTGCTTATTCTGATGCTTAACATTTTTATATTTTTAATGTTCTTTCTGTCTCCCTAACACTTCAATATGCTATGTTACTCTTTTCAGTGCAAAAGTCTTTAAAAAAAAGCTACGTTCATTGTTTCATGACCAAATACCCACTTGTTAAACTGGCCTCATTTATTTCCATTTTCTTACTCTATTTAGACTGCACCCCAAATCCCTCAAAGCAAATTTGGCATGAAGACTGCAGAGTAATATACATTTATCATTAAAATTGAAATATTTATTATGGATAAAATAGTATTACTATGTATGTCTGTCCGTGTAAATATTTTACACAATTTTTGTACCTTTCTAATCATAAGATTCTGGGGTAGCTCACTCATGTAAATGCCATTAAAACAACAGTTATATAGACCCAACTGATGTACATTTTCAACAATCCATGCATCTTGTTATAGACATCCTAAATGCTTACTATTTCTCAATATTAATATTATAACTTGAAATTTGCAGCTCTCAAAAGCTGTTCTCTTCGAGGAGAAAAAAAGGGAGATGGTGACCATGCCTGTATAAATGGAGGCAGAGAAATTAGAAAAAGCTGTCGATCTAGAAAAAACAGATTTGAAAGTCTCAATCAGAGTTTACTGTTTGACCAATTGGTAAACAGGTATGTTGGAATAGTGCAATAATAATAGTGCATAATTTTATGGTATTGTTAACATTATATTTGTATTATATTTCAGTCCATGAGAAGCATTTTATTTATATATTTAAAAAGATGTCCCCTAACTTGAATATTCAGCTTCCAAACAATGTCGTGTAAACATTAAATCTACTCAGCTAGCCAATTTCAATATCCGAGAACTTTATTGTATTTATTTTATGTAATCTGAATAGAAAACAAATGGATCAGACATTTTTCAGCTTATCCACTTTATGGTCACACCATCTCAGAGGCAAAACTTTACATTTTAAAAAAATAAGGTTCCCAGCAAGAAAGGGAAACCTTCATCCCTGCAATAAATGATGTGAACCAGAATTTTAAGAGTTGAGTTTGTTCAGGAATTATGGAAAATATAGGAATAAACTTTGGACTCATATTTTTTCTAATTTGATTTTTGCCTCTGAACTATATCTATAAATCATGGATAAAATATGAATTTGCTCTCACTGGGAAGAGGGTGGTAGTGTTCATTTCTTTAAATGCAGCCCCTTGTATTCAGTAAAAACTTGCTTTGGCACTGAGGATTCCTTCTAAAAAAGGTGTAGGAATGTTGTAACGCAAAAATTACTTTTTTGTGTTTTCTACTAGGAGATTTATTTACTGGACCAACATCTTCCAAGAAACTTATTTAATTTTAACCATATTTAATTATGATCCAGCTTATTGTATTTACTTAACAATATCACAAGACAGTTGTTACATAATTGACTTTGGGCCAATCACTCTCTCTTAGCCCAAGTCAACTCATAGAGTTATTGTCGTGGGGAAAATAGGGGGAGGTGGGAGTATTGTGTGTATTGAGTTATTTATAAAAATAATAAAGGCAGAATATAAATGAGTAAATAAATTACTACCATTTTCTACGTTAGTACTGCTGAAGCTGTTCTTCAGGAAATGGACAATATTAACATCAGACGGAACAGGCGATCAGGTGAAGTGGAACGGTTGCGTATGTGGACAGATACTGAATTTGTAAGTTTAAATTCTCTTCTCATCTTTTTTTTTCCTTAACATTTTGTTTAAGCCTTGAGTATGTTATAGCCTAGCATCGAAAGCACTTGTTAGTGGATCAAATGAATTTTGAATATTCTGTATACAATTTTCAATCCTTATAACAGGAACATAAGGTAAAGAGAAAGCAATGCACTGGCTAGGGAGAAAACCAGTTTCAACCCTGTACTATCTCATAAACAATACAATAATAACTCATAAGAAGTGACATGTGTTGTGGTGGATTATATGGTAGTTAGCCATCTGTAAGACAGTATGATTAATGTAAAATAGTCCATCTACGTATACATGTTTTACTGGTTGGCATTCAGGGCTTATGACTCCCTAGGTTCCTTTAAATAGTAGCAGCTGATATCCAAAATCAAGTCGCAGGAACAGGAAAAACAGTTCCTCTGTCTTGTCTGTTGCAACTTTGGAGACTTGCACAACTCCTAACAGGCTGTGGTGGATGAGTGGATAAATGGAAGCTAGATGATGAGGCAACAAGGCTTTCCCTTCTATGAGCTGGCCAGCCTGCAACAGCCCCGCCCTTCCCAGCTACCTTATTGGCTGCTGGGAAGCTGTGGCTCTGAGTGGTAGAATTCTTGAGTCTCTGGCTCATTTCTGTAGATTCCAGCTCTTGGGGCAGCAACAACCTGTGCCTCACATTGCCACATGGTGGCAAGGCCAGAGAATTGTAACCAGCTAGTCAGAGAGTGCCTTGCTGCTGTGAGTTCTACAGTGCTTATTGTGCCTCCCTTGTCTCCAGATGTGGGGGCTTATCTAAGAACAGATGCTCCATTCTTATAAAATCAAATATTTCTATGTGCCGAATAGATACAATAACTGAATTATTTTCTGAACTCTCCCATGAATTCTTTTATAGTTCCTAAGATAGAACACTCAGTACTCTGATCGGAATTTCCAATAAAGATACTTACATTTGTTTAGCCTGTGATTTTAGCATCTCTCTGTCTTGCACACATGCAGATTCTCTCTTATTAAAATACTTGTTATGACTATGAGAGTTTGGTTAACTATATAGTTGGAAGCTACATGTATATTTAGCTGTTAGAAATGCAGATTATTCTTGAGGTTTTTATTTTAGGAAAACATGGATATGTACTCAAGAGTGAAAAGGAGGAGGAAATCATTAAGGAGAAATAGCTATGGAATCCAGAACCACCACGAGGTTTCCACAGAAGGTGAAGAAGAAGGTAATGGTGATAGTAATTTGACAGCTACTTTGATAAATACAAGTGAAATATTATTATGCTGAAAAACAACACAAGTTATTTGAGTTCTTAATAGTCCAGAAAAACTTATTAATCAAACTACAATTAAATGTTGGATACCAACAGACGAGTCTTCTTCAGTTATGGATTCAGGCCTTGGTAATTCCTTCCTGGTTTGATAAATTCTAATCAGTGCTGTTTTCCCCCTCAGACATTCATGGTGCTTTTGAATGAATTGTTCAGGACTGATTTGAAAATATCTTTGCTTTTGGGTCTTTCTTGTCATTTTATAGTTTTGATCTTGAAATTATAACAGCTTTGTCATGTGTTCAAAGTCTCATAGATACCTTATAATATTTCAAGAAGTGTTTTTAAACATATTAAAATTATCTATCTATTATAAAGTTCATTCTGGAATATTGCAAACTATCCAAATCAGTGTTACATTTTGTAAAATAAATTTCTTCCGTAAAGTAACAGGTGCTCTTTAATAGATATTATCAAATTACCTGAATGCACTTTTATAAATATTTAATGGGGATTTTTCTAGAATCTCAAGAAGAAGATGGGGATATTGAAGCAGAGGAGGCAGA